GCCTGAAAAAAATAAATAGAATATCCTTAAACTCTTCTGCCAAATCCATGGCAGTTCATTTATCAAATTACTAGAAAGAATATTTTACAAACTGACATACTTTCCACATGTCCTCTGAGGAATTGTGATGTTACTTTTGATTTCAACAGTCTTCTGATTTCCAAAATATATTTAGGCTTCTTAGCTGTTTTTTCTTAGTGAAAGCAGGATAAGCAAACTTTAATAATCCGTATCAGTGATTTCCTCCTCACTCTAAGATTGAAGCAATTTTAACTACTGTACTGTGGTTTGTGGTATAAAGTTCTCCTGTGTTAAACCAAAATTGTTTGGTTAATAATCAACCCAAATTTATAGTTTGGAATTTCTTCTTAAGAGTAACATGTTCATATATGTAAAATAGATAAACAACAAGGTCCTACTCTATGGCACAGGGAACTATATTCAATATCATGTAATAAATCAAAATGGAAAAGAAAATGAAAAGGTATATTTATATAACTGAAACAATTTATTGCACACCAGAAACAAACACATTGTAAATCCTCTACACTTCAACTTGAAAAAAAAGAAAAAAGAATAACATGTTCAAGGACAGGTGGACTGCAAGAATCTTTTACTTCACAAATTCATTCAGTGGTCATTCAGAACATGTTTTTAATACCTACAACCTGCATGGTACCAAATACCAAGGGTACCACTGTGAGCCAGAAATACATATCTGTGATCTTATGAAACAGATATTCAAACATGTAACCATGAAAGTGTTAGTCTGATTGATTAAAGCAGCAAGTCTAGTTCTTCAATGACTTGTGATCAAGCTATAAGAATATACACATAAATGTCACGGCCCATCCATGACTGGCCTCCCAGTCACTTTCATAAAATAACAGCACTTGCAATCGTAGAAATACATGAAAGCTGTTCTAGCCTAGTCTGGATTTCTAGTTTTTCTGAAGGATACCATGCCATTTTGCCATTCTATGTATTTACTCACATTGTTTCCTCATCCAGGAGCTCACTCACTCCTCCTTCCTTACACAACCTCCTCTCCCTCCTCATCTCCATTTCTTGAAATCTTAGCCAAGTGACCGAGCCCCAAAGTCACCGGGTCCATGGCGCTTTGGGCTCCATTTGGACTAACCAGCTCTCTCACATTTCCCTGTAGTGTCTTGATTGTATTACTACTTTTAGGATTTAAGGCACTTTATTCCTTCTAAAGTAACTACAAATGTCTGTCTCCCAGTTCATAGTCTCCTTAACACTTTGCCGTTATTTATTTTTACTGTTTGGCTGTGTCACACAGCATGTGGGATCTTAGTTCCCCAAGCAGGGATCAAACCCTTGGCCCCTGCATTGGAAGTTTGTAGCTTTAACCACAGGACTGCCAGGAAGTTGCCAACACTTTATCTTGCATGGATAGGTACTTGAAGATTCTGTGTCAAACAAATCAATAAATGAATAATAGTCAACAAAAGAATTTGAAAGCTGACTTTCCTGAGCTTAATTTTTTACGATTTCCAACTACTTTGCTGAGAAGTAAACATATTCAGAATACATTATAGCAAATAAAAGATGTCTGTCTAATCTGTTTGAAGCAATATTTCAATAGAACATTGAGAACATCAACAGTAGTGATGAGGGAGCAGTAATAAGTTGGGGCATCTTGTTATCTATGTTTATAGAAGCATGCCACAAGCCTAGTTTCCAGGAGGTTGTAGTTAATAAAACTAAGGTGACCCCAGAGAGTCACTTGCTTTCCCAGGGCCACATATGCTCTAAAGCTGGTTAAAATCTGTTAAGTGTTTAAAATTTAATTATTGCTTAAATCTAAAAGGCCATGTTGCCTAGCATGTATAATCCTTTTAGCATTTTTGTATCAGACAATATTAAAAAAATCAAAGAAAAGCAACAAAATGCTGTGTATCTCAAGCCTAACTTTTAAATAAAGAATTTGGAAACCTTTGAAAGAAGTTAAATGTTAGTTTATTTCAGGCTCCAAAAAAGACCCATAAATAACATGAGTCATTTAAAGTAAAATTACTCCTAAAATATAAGAGAAATCAATCAAAGGAAAAGGATAAACAAAATATAAAGTAGTTCTCAAAGGAAAGGATGAATTGGGAACAAGATAGAACTAAACAGTTTAGAGTATAAAGAAAAGAGCACCAACATAAGAGAAGTAAAAAAAATAGAGGAGAAATTTCAGAATTTTCTAGTTGGGAGGGAAGGGTGAAGAAGTTAAAAAGAAACAGGGGTCATATTTCACAGATCTCCTGAGTTTTGTTTAGTTAGACATTTCAGCATATCTCCAAGGAAAAGACCGGGGGAAGCACATACCACTAATTTAATTTTTCTTGTTTGGACCACATACCAGAGAAGAGACCCCTGGCTCAGCCCCTCCGGGCACATTTCCCTGTCACATTTCTTACCATAAATGTACAGTAGTTGAATACTGTAAAAATTTAAGGGAGATTATTTAGATGTATGCTTTTCTGTCTACATTTACAATGAGTGAACTCTGAAAATCTTTAATGATAGTCTCAAAGTCATAATGGAAGATATCCTATAATTCAAAATATTTTAATTGCTTATGAAAATTTAAAACATCAGCATTGTAATTAAAATCTATGGAAAAGTCTGGATTGAGAGGGGTTGGGAGCAGATGTCTCAAACTTCTCTGTAACACTTTCAGTAAGAGCCTTCCCAAGGCACGTGAAACCTTCAGTAGACAAACTCTGGAATATATTTGATTTGTGTCTGTCAACCTCACTACACACACACAATCTTTGGAGTAACAGCACTGGGCATGGTCTGATTCTCAGGCTACAAATCTGGTTGTAGGTAAAGCAATGCTACCATGAAGTCCAATTGTGTCACTAATGACCCTCCTTGAAAAAGACCCAGGGCAGACCTAACTTTTACTTAACTCAGTAGTCTATTAAGCAAGGCTTTAGTGTAATATAACAAGGACAAATGAAGGAGATGGATTCTAGGGCTGATGTTTCTACTGCTGGATCCTGAAAAAAACTAAAGATAGTAAACTAAAATATGGCACATTCTCTAATAAATCATCACTTTTAAAACCACCCTCTGCATCCATGATCTTACTGTATTCAGGTATGGAGCAAAAGCATAACTAAGGCCAACTTGGTAGACTTCTGAATATTTTGAAAGTATTGATCAAGGTAACAAATCATTAAAGGATGTTTTATCCTCCTGTTGTGACAAATATAATTTTAAATGACCTGAAAGTCTAGATTTGAATTTAAAACTTTGGACTCTGAGTGATCAAAGGTGAACAAGGCCTTGCGCTCCCTGACCTCTTGATCAAATGGGCCAAAATCCTTCTCATCATAGACTTTGTGACCTCTCTTTTGTTTGCCCAAAATGCCTGCCTTCCAATTCTTCGCCAATCATATTTTCCTGAACGTTATGATTGTAGCTAGAATTTGCTCATTGTTTGACACTCAGCGTGTAGCAACACGCACTCAATAATATTACATGCTGACTACTTATGCCTCATTCAGCTACAAACCTCAGGAAGCCACCTCTGAACTTGTTCACCATTTTATTTCCAGCATTAAGCCAAGCACATAGCACATCCTTATTCAACGAGTACTTCTGAGCATAAAAATAACTTCTGAAGCTTCTCAGAAAAGATTCCCTATAGACCTGTGTACTAAGAATGCCACCTGCCATATCAGTAAACGAAGGTCATTGCAGCATCAAGCCATCCCATTACAGCCGTCCCAATCAGCCCCGAGGGAACTCAAGGTGAAAACAGGATGCTTCCCTACCAAACTATCAGCCGCAGCAGCCACCCCACCCCCACAGCAGTGCACCTGAGGAGACTCCAGATGAGAAAGTACAGGATACTGGCCTCCCCACCCCGGATAGCTGAGGTGGATATCAGAGGAATGATTTGAATGAGTCCAGACTCTTGCATCTTCCCATACAGAGAAAAGCACTAAGTTCCCTAACTTGAGAAGTCTGGCTTTCTTTAATTAACAGTAATCCCTTGATGTTCCAACTACCTGGTCTTTGTTGCAAAAAATCTCTGCATATCCTGGCTCCCCGCTTACCTCTTTAGAGCAGTCCCTTAGTCATATAAGTATGAAATGGTTGGATGGCACCATTGACTCAACGGACACGAGTCTGAGTAAACTCCAGGAGTTGGTGATGGATAGGGAGGCCTGGCATGCTACAGTCCATGGGTTCACAAAGAGTTGGACATGACCGAGCAACTAAACTGAACTGAACTTAGTCATATAAGAGGCTGCATCCCAGGCCTAAGTCCTCAGTTTTGTCCACCAAGTAAAACATAACTCTCAACTTTTAGGTTGTGCTTTTCTTCTTTTAAAGTCAACAAATCTCTCCCAGAAGTGATCCTGGAGTTGTTGTCTTTTGACCAAATATTACAGTATGCTAAGATCTAACTCAACAACATCTTCTGCATATTCTCGTGAGTCTTTTGTTCCATCCTCATCCTCCTCTGTATTATGGTAGGTCATTTGTCTGTTTCCCTATCACCTGCATTGATATATATTTCTTTTTTAAGTTAAGTTTTGAGATATTCTTTGACTATGGTAATATTCATTCTTCTTTAGTGTACAGTTCTACACGTTTTTACAAATTACACAGCTGTGTAACCACCACCACAGTCAAGACATAGATCCACAGCACTTCACACGTCACTTTCTTTCAGTATTGCTATATTACAGTTGTGCTGCTCATTTACATACAGGCCTTCAACACAAGACTAAAAACCCCAAGAGCAGGAATAGGGCTTGAGTTTTACCTCCCACAGCCACTGCAGAGCCTGACAATAAATGCATGTTGTTTATAAATCAATTAACTAATCAATATATTGCTTTGTCTTATAGAATGCACCACTTTGCACATTGTGTGTATAAAAAACACATTGGTTAAATCCCACAAAAAGCTGTGACTCTCAATGTGTCCAAACCAGTACCACAAAATGTACAAAATTCAGTGCTTACCATCTCCTGTTTCTGCACAAAGCTGTAAGCCCAAATTGTTCTGTGGATTAATCACCCAATGATTGCTGGTCACAGTAATATCAAAGACAAGCCAACCCACATCGAGAGCTTGGGTCTTCCTTGTGTCTAACAAGAATAGATCTGCATCCCTAAGGAGAAAGAAAACAACAACAAAAACAGTTACAGGTTTGAATGAAAATTATCATTCCCTATACTTAAGTGAAAACACTACAAAACCACTCTTAAAATAACAAGAGTTGATTAAGGAACAAGGGGAACAAATGAGTCAAATGATGAGTAATAAGATACAGAACGTTTTATTGCTAGAATCCCATCCCAAATCTGGTGCAGATTAGGAATATCTGAAAGTAATTTCCATTTTCGGGCTCTTCACTGTCAACTTTCCTTTACAAACTGGCTTAGTGGTCTTGATTTAGTCCCTGATAATCAGTATTTCCCCAAACCACTACCTGTAAGAAACAGTACACTGGCAAGTTCATAAGCAACTGCTGAACTGAATACAGAGGAAGTGAAAGTGGCTGTTCCAGTCTGGATGGCTGTGGATTCTCCATGGAGATGGAGGACAGGCAGTCTGTGATGCAAGTCTTTTAGAGATAATTTTCTCTTTCAGAGATCATTTTCCTTTTGTTTCCACTTTATTATACTTTTTTCCATTTTTATTTCATTTTCTGTTTTTGTTATATAATTATTTTATGGATCAATTCAGTTCAGTTCAGTTCAGTTCAGTTGCTCAGTCATGTCTGACTCTTTGCGACCCCATGAATTGCAGCACACCAGGCTTCCCTGTCCATCACCAACTCCCAGAGTCTACCCAAACCCATGCCTATCGAGTCAGTGATGCCATCCAGCCATCTCATCCTCTGTCATCCCCTTCTCCTCCTGCCCCCAATCCCTCCCAGCATCAGGGTCTTTTCCAATGAGTCAACTCTTCGCAACAGGTGGCCAAAACACTGGAGTTTCAGCTTCTACATCAGTCCTTCCAATGAACACCCAGGACTCATCTCCTTTAGGATGGACTGGTTGGATCTCCTTGCAGTCCAAGGGACTCTCAAGAGTCTTCTCCAATACCACAGTTCAAAAGCATCAATTCTTCGGCACTCAGCTTTCTTCACAGTCCAACTCTCACATCCATACATGACCACTGGAAAAACCATAGCCTTGACTAGACGAACCTTTGTTGGCAAAGTAATGTCTCTGTTTTTTAATATGCTATCTAGGTTGGTCATAACTTTCCTTTCAAGTAGTAAGTGTCTTTTAATTTCATGGCTGCAATCACCATCTGCAGTGATTTTGGAGCCCCCCCCAAAATAAAGTCTGACACTGTTTCCACTGTTTCCCCATCTATTTCTCATGAAGTGATGAGACCAGATGCCGTGATCAGTTCAGTTCAGTCGCTCAGTCGTGTCCGACTCTTAGCGACCATGGACTGCAGCCTACCAGGCTCCTACATCCATGGGATTTTCCAGGCAAGAGTACTGGAGTGGGGTGCCATTGCCTTCTCCGCTGTATCTTAGAAATCACTTCAAAGATGGCTTACAAAATTTAAACAATTAATTTTAATAAAATCATGCACATTTATTATTTCCTTAGAAAAAAGTCATCAGTGATCATTAAAAACTGAACCACAAAAGAAGAATCTCAGTCAATATTTTAGAGGCTATAACTCCATTTCTTTACTTAAACTTGATTTAAACGATTCTTCCATTAACCTAGAGAAGTTAAAATAAAGGTATTAATGTTACAATCAATTAAATTGACCAGCTACCATATACCAAAATATGCAGCTTTCATTCTCCTTCATAATTTTCTTAGCAAAGAAGGGTTACAGACACTTTATCACATCCAATACAGGACTCAGTTTGAGTTACTTCGGGTATACAACAAGCATATAATACAATGCAATGAAAAGATTAATTTGTTACCAGTTGAATTTTAAGGATCCATTATATTCACACTGTAAATGAACAAAAGTAAAATTCTCCCTGCCTCTCATAACTTGAAAAACCTACCAAATAAACAGAATCTAAGAAAATACTGATTATCCTTAAAATTTTGATATATTTTAAAACTATCTTCTTCTTTTCCTATCTGGATTCCTTTTACTTCTTTTTCTGTTCTGATTGCTTGGCCAAAACTTCCAACACTATGTTGAATAGTAGTGGTGAGAGTGGGCACCCTTGTCTTGTTCCTGATTTCAGGGGAAATGCTTTCAATTTTTCACCATTGAGGGTGATGCTTGCTGTGGGTTTGTCATATATAGCTTTTATTATGTTGAGGTATGTTCCTTCTATTCCTGCTTTCTGGAGAGTTTTCATCATAAATGAGTGTTGAATTTTGTCAAAGGCTTTTTCTGCATCTAGTGAGATAATCATATGGTTTTTATCTTTCAATTTGTTAATGTGGTGTATTACATTGATTGATTTGCAGATATTAAAGAATCCTTGCATTCCTGGGATAAAGCCCACTTGGTCATGGTGTATGATTTTTTTAATATGTTGTTGGATTCTGTTTGCTAGAATTTTGTTAAGGATTTTTGCATCTCCAACATAAATCACAGCAGGATCCTCTATGACCCACCTCCCAGAATATTGGAAATAAAAGCAAAAATAAACAAAAGGGACCTAATTAAACTTAAAAGCTTTTGCACAACAAAGGAAACTATAAGCAAGGTGAAAAGACAGCCCTCAGATTGGGAGAAAATAATAGCAAATGAAGCAACAGACAAAGGATTAATCTCAAAAATATACAAGCAACTCCTGAATCTCAATTCCAGAAAAATAAATGACCCAATCAAAAAATGGACCAAAGAACTAAACAGACATTTCTCCAAAGAAGGCATACAGATGGCTAACAAACACATGAAAAGATGCTCAACATCACTCATTATCAGAGAAATGCAAATCAAAACCACAACGAGGTACCATTACACACCAGTCAGGATGGCTGCTATCCAAAAGTCTACAAACAATAAATGCTGGAGAGGGTATGGAGAAAAGGGAACCCTCTTACACTGTTGGTGGGAATGCAAACTAGTACAGCTGCTATGGAAAACAGTGTAGAGATTTCTTAAAAAACTGAAAATAGAACTGCCATATGACCCAGCAATCCCACTTCTGGGCATACACACTGAGGAAACCAGATCTGAAAGAGACACGTGCACCCCAATGTTCATCACAGCACTGTTGATAATAGCCAGGACATGGAAGCAACCTAGATGCCCATCAGCAGACGAATGGATGAGGAAGCTGTGGTACATATACACCATGGAATATTACTCAGCCATTAAAAAGAATTCATTTGAATCAGTTCTATGAGATGGATGAAACTGGAGCCCATTATCCAGAGTGAAGTAAGCCAAAAAGATAAAGAACATTACAGCATACTAACACATATATATGGAATTTAGAAAGATGGTAATGATAACCGTATATGCAAAACAGAAAAAGAGACACAGATGTACAGAACAGACTTTTGGACTCTGTGGGAGAAGGCGAGGGTGGGATGTTTTGAAAGAACAGCATGTATATTATCTATAGTGAAACAGATCACCAGCCCAGGTGGGATACATGAGACAAGTGCTGGGCCTGGTGCACTGGGAAGACCCAGAGGAATCGGGTGGAGAGGGAGGTGGAAGGGGGGATCGGGATGGGGAATACATGTAACTCCATGGCTGATTCATGTCAATGTATGACAAGACCCACTGCAATGTTGTGAAGTAATTAGCCTCCAACTAATAAAAATAAATGGAAAAAAATAAAATAAAATAAAAAGAAAACTATCTTTAAGACTGTTATCTTGGAATTAACTTAATCACATTGTTAACTTCTTGAGAGAAGGATTCACCTTTCAAAAATGCTAGTCTGATTTCATTTGAAATATGATAAGGGTGTTCTAATAAATCCTGCAAAGCATTACCAATCCTTGACATGCTATAAATAAATATTTGAATAACAAAACAGAACAAAGAGGTAAGTTCTGAGAGCAATTTCAACTAGTTAACAAATATTTTTAGGTGAAAGTGAAGTGAAAGTGAAGTCGCTCACTCATGTCCAACTCTTGGAGACCCCATGGACTACACAATCCATGGAATTCTCCAGGCCAGAATACTGGAGTGGGTAGCCTTTCCCTTCTCCAGGGGATCTTCCCAACCCAGGGATCAAACTCAGGTCTCCTGAATTGCAGGCGGATTCTTTACCAGCTGAGCCACAAGGGAAGCCCTATCTTTAGGTAGTTATTTATTATTTTTTAATTGTGCTACTTTTCCTGAAAGAAAGAATTCCCAAACTGTTAACATTCAAGTCTCAAACTTTTAAGCAAGTCTATGAGGAAAACAGTTTCAGTTTTAATGGAAATACTTAGAAAAAGCACCCACCAACAGATCCTAGCAAAACCTAAATACTTGAATTTCTGTGATGCAAATCGCAAGTCATTGGAAGGTAAACCTAGGCAAATAGTATGGTTTGGAAAATCCATATATTTCTAGTTCACCTCTTAAAAGTTATAAACATTCAGTTAGCTTCATTATCTTCATGGTTTCCTATTCTTGAGTAAAGCCATTTTATTTTTGACCTTTAACTTCTATTTTTAAATTTCTCATCTTTCTTTTTGTATAAAGAACTCTCCTGCATTAACTGCAGACAAGAGAATATGCTTTAGGAGAATCAAGTCTATTTTTAATAAGCACAATGTTAATAATTACATAATTTTCAGTCATGCAACAAGTTTATAACAGCATCTTAAAAATAAATTCCTATCCATTCTATAGAAATTGAGATGTGATTTCTTTAGAAGTATAAAATTACTCCACTAAAAAATAGCACTTATCTCCACGAAAATAGCAGAATATTTTGAATTATCTCTTTAAAGACTACTTTAAAATTACCTCTTTAAAGAATATTTATCTCTTTAAAGACTGTTTCCAAGCAATGTGACATTCAGAGGTACTAGAGGCTAGAACTTCCAACATACAGATGGGGGAGAGAGGGGAGCAGAGTTTAACCCATAATAATACTTTAAAAATTTTTTTAAAGGTGAGAATAATCCTAGATGTGAGCATTCAGTTTACTGACATTATAGCAATTATCAACACTGAAATGTTTTTTAAAAAAAAACTAATGCATGGAAATCA